AAGAGATACAGCACGACATCCCAGGTGTTGGGAACTCAGCGGCAACTGGCATCTTCCATCATCAGCGCTACGAAACCTGAACTGCTGGGGGCTTCGGATGGTAAAAATCTGACTGCGGAATCAGCCTGTTCATAAAGTTTCCAGAATGCTTCAGGTACCAGAACTTTCCAATAATCCAATCCACAAACTTCCACTAAATTTGAAAGAAACACAATTAGTCTCAAGATAATCAGTATCACAAGTCTTAATTTCTAACAATATGGTGGTGGCTCTAATTAAAAAATATATGTCTGAGTAATTAATGAGAAAAGACAGCTTTAAATGTTAAAAAAATATATTTATTTAAATTTTGTATACAAAACATCAAAAACAGCTGAACAATTGTTAGCACTGATAGCTTTTGTGAATATTTAATGGCAAGTATTTCTAACCTCACTTCACAAAAACAAGTGCTTTGACAAGTTATTGTTTTTCAACTAACTAGTGGCTAATTCAGTGTTTTTAAATATTTAAAATAACAGAGCTTAGGGATTTTTTTTTTCCCCCTGTATGAAAACCAGAGCACTGTGTTTTTACATTCAAACTGTAAGTCCGCAGAGAAGTAGAGTCCATAAAGCACTGACTGGTGATCATGTGTACCCAAAGAGAAACCATTCCACAGCTCATCCTCCTGCTCCAGCGTGAACCCCGAGCAGTCTGCAAACTCCTGCTTCTGGATGTCAAAGGAGGTACACACCGAGAAATTCCACAGCTGCACAGACAGCAGGTACACGAGCTCTGAGCCTTCTTAAAGAAAGAAATAGATACTTTGAAGAAGTGTAAATTACTAAATAAATACATGCTTTGGCATGTCCACCTCCCTTTCCCTAACACCCCAACAGATCATTTCAACTCTAAAGGGAAGCATTTGGTTTAAAACATAAATATTAACAAAACCTTTAGGAAATCCTAAGTAGTTACAACTCATTTTTATAATGTACAAGCTCTAGGTAAAATGGCGCATTGTAAGGAAGAGTGCAACACTACAGGTCATATTAAATCACTGCAGAGGGTAAGGAGAGCTGCAACTATTTCCCACACAGTTTAAGACTGCTGCAAGGCACACGGCTGGGCTCTGTGATCTAGCTGGTGTCATCCAAGCAATCCTTCCACGTGCCCTTCCACATGTCAGTCCCAAAAACAGCTGGTCGGAGGTAAACACAGACAAGTTTGTAAGGAAGAACTGCATAGTTTTAGAACTGTATACAAAAAACTAATGTTTCTTTCATCTGTGATGAAGAAAACCTATTGTCCAAGAACACCGGCAGGCAAACAGCCAAGGAATTAGTGAAGCGACACGAAAGAACTTCAGAAAGACAGACAGTTTGGTAAAACCCTTAGCCTGCTTCTGTATTTAAGGTGTCAAAGACCATGTTTTGATTCCTATCTCATACTTTTTATGCAAGTTCCAATCGTGAGCCTGAACTGACAAATTCCTCTGCAGTTTTGCAACATCGTTAAAAAAAAAAAGGAAAAAATATTACAGTGAATCCTCATATACAAACAAATCTGCAAATGCACTTTACGATTTGCATCGCCACCAGCCAATTTCATCGACTCTCAAATCTCCGAAGCCTTTGCCGCCTCATTTCTTCCTCTGAATGCTGCTCAGGGGGAAACCAAAAGCCATAGGGTCGCCGTTCGTTATACGCTGCTCCACCAGAATCTGCCAGACACAACGAAAAGTAACTGTTACTTTGTTCTGTGATATGAAAAAATGCACCTGTGTCCTATAACCCAAAGCATCGCAACACAAAGGAAGCCGGGAGTTGAACATTTCCAGTTCAAGTGGTTTCCAATGGGAAAGTGTGTTCAGAAAAAATCATTGTTGGGTACCTGAGACCGTACATAGTCTGAATTTATTAATAAAAAGCTGGACCTTAAGAATCAGATACAAGTCCTACCACATGACTTCACGAAATGTATTGTAAGCTGCTGTCACACACGGCACATTCAAGCGTATCATGTATTTTAAGACCATTTTACAGAAAGCCAACACAGTTGAATGCGAGGACCGGCACACTCGTGCAGCTGCAGGAGGGAAAGATAACACTGACTGGGGGGAAAAAATGAATTATGCAGCATCTCTCTGTAGTCTTGTAAGTTTAATTCTTATTACAGTCTTCCATGGATTTGGCAAATTTCACAGAGTACTACTAAAGGCTCAGCAGAAGAAAACAGACACAGGCATCCATGAAACTCCAGAGAAGAGGTAAGCCAGATGCCCAGATATTTCCAAACTAGTAGCAAAGTAATCAAAGGGTACACAATTACAAATAACACAGTTACACAGAGAATGACGCAGCATCACGCTGCACTCTCCGAATATGCTACCAGGAAACACCCATCTGTTTCCAAAGATACGTCCAAACCACTGAAAATAAACGAAGAGCAATATGTCTGTCTTCCTCCCTCACTCCCTTCTCAGTATGAATCGTAGCTTAAAATATAAAATGCGATAGAACTCCGACCTCTCTCACTGAGGCTGTTCAGCACCGCCCTTTCCAGCTGTTCCTCTTCAGTGAGCCCACCAGTGTAATCGTAATAGCTCCTCGGCACCCGGTACTGGCCCCCGGAATAGCCATAATACTCTGCAAAAGGAGTACAGAGTAAAGAACATAAACTGCTGCTGCTCAGTGGGAGAGTGTGAAATCAGGCAGTATCTTTATGATAGCTTTCCTCCACAAATTATTTTATTTTGGGAAAGAAAAAAAGTTACAAAGATTCAATTACTTACATAAGCCACAAACCAGTTTCTAATTTACAAAGCCAGATGATAGTAACAGGAGAGAGGAAAACAGCAGAAAAAAGATGGACTGAACTCAGTCCTTTGTAATTGTTTTAAGTGTCATAGGACTGGCATTACTGAGGAGTTTCCCACAGAAATGGAAAGACCCTTTAACATTTCATTTCCAACACAATTCTCTGGCGTGGCCAGAGGAGCAATGCAAGAGCAGCGAGTATACAGACCTGCAGCGTGTTTTGTCTGATAGGTGTTTCCATTTAACTAGCTCCTCTATAGGTTTTCTGTCATCACCAAAGAGGATTTTTAAAGCTGGAGTAAGTTTGCAGGCAAGTGGGTGAGAATACTGACCTGAATAGTAGTGCCTCGGCCTGGCAGGGTCAGCGAATGAAGAAATGCCACCTAAACAAGGATAACACAAGTGCTGTTGGAACAAAACCATCGCGTCGCCGGCAGCAGCCCTCACAGAGGCAGAGCTCCAGTAACAATTCTCAAGCATTCCACAACCTTTTCCAAAGTGTGGATGCAAGTAGTAGAAATCCAAATGTGTTGTGCTCTGGCGTATTTTTATGGCTTCACCACACTTCAGTTAAAGTGACATTTTCATTGGCGTCTTATGCAAAACAGTTTACTCTAAATAAACATTTAGAAAGAAGGGTAAAAGGTATTCCTCTAAGCAAAAAATATCTAACAAAGACATTTACTGGTTCTTGTCATTAATTTTTAAGAATCAAAATGATTTTTCTTCTGCATTCACTTCAATAATCATCACAGAATCATATCTTTACCTACCTAAAAAGCTTGCTAGAATGGCCTGAACTTCTATACGCAAGACTTAACAGAATTTTTAAAAAGTGCCTCTTATGCAGCTTTTATAAATTGAAAAAAATTATCTACCTGCACAGGCCTTCATTATTTTTTTCAGGGGTCCCATAGTGTACAGCAATCCAACAAGAATTCCTGCCAGATGCCCGGCAAAAGAAGTCCTACAAGAAAGGGAAATCTCATCAGCGATGGAAAGGAAGAGATTTTTTTTGCAGAGATCCAGAAGGGGGAGTGCAGAGTTTGTTTCCTTACTCAGGTAGGAAACTAGTAATATGAGCCACCCACCCAACCACAGACTTGTATCTGAAGTATAAATTACACACACACACACATGCATATATTTGTATACAAACAGATACACCTTTGTCCTTCCAATGTTACCGCTCCCAGCACGTTCTGAGATCAGATCCACTCAGATCCTCTATAATCTTTCTCACTTGATAAAAAAGTAGACTGGAATTATTCTGTATAAGTAAATTACATAAAATAACTGGTGTACACAGGCAATTGATGTTCTTCTATGCACATGCCTTAGTCCAGAGTAGATAGTCCATGTCCAACGAACTTAAATATATTTGAACAACTAATCCTGAATACTTCAATGTCACTCTTCTTGAGATTGGGCTACATTTCACAGTAAATTTTAATTTTCAGTAGACTGCCTTTTCAACGAAAACTGTAGCTTTCTGAAATAGTTTCTGGACCCTCTATACACTTTCTACCCCAAAGACATTTCTGTACTACTGCAGCCGAAAACCAACAGCACACAACCCCTGAACTCCTGTTTTTCCTCCACCAGATACAGCGCAATACGCTCGTGGCCTTACTTCAGACATAATGCTCTTTCATTACTCTTTAATAATAAACCAAACAGTAGCATTAAAGGTATCACCACCTAAAAACCATGTTCAGCTAATGTGACCGTTCATACTTTCCAGAAGAATTTTTTAACACACCAGAAACTTTGGTTTTATACTTGTAGTAACGCCACGCAAGCGACCTCTCAGCTCACACTTCAGATTTCGCTTGGAACGGAGCACTCCACAGCTCTTCTGCCCTTTCACCTGGGCTTCCCTGCCGCACTCAGGCAGGCAGTAAGTCACAAACCAATACAACTAGTGCTTAACGTGAGCAACATCTGAATTCTCATTCGGGTCTAGGAAATGTTCTGTCTGCTGTACCACAGCATCTGACGAGGTGGTGTTGGTGTTGCCCCCCTCCTGCAGTATTAACCGCACTTACCCCGGGGAGATTAAATGAATAGCCACCAGCTCCACCCAGCAAGCGTATTTACTGGGGATTCTCCACCCAAGGACACTGCTCACTCTTCCTGGATTGTAGTAGTTGTTAAGAACTTTCAAAGCAAACAAGACACCTGCAAACAAGAAGAAATCGCATGAAGAGAGAAGTACTTGCACCCAAATCATAAAGAAACACAAACCACTGCCGCAATCGAAGTGCCATGCAGCTTCACAGCACCACGAAGTGCACTGCTGCATGCCAGACCAAGGGTTCAGTTTCCTTCTGTGACTTAAAAAAAGGATTAAAATCCACATTTGTATAACAGCCAATTCTAAGTTGCTTTTCAGTACACCTGCTCACTGCAGCTATTCAGGTATTCAAAACACTACAAACAATTTTAAAATGGGAGTTCTGGGTGAAATAATTGACAAAATTATTGAACTCAAGAAGTGTTTGGGGACTTACAAAAAGCCATTACTAAAACCAAGACAAATAGGTACATGTGAAGCTCAAAGTAGGCTTAAATTCTGAACTAACGGAAAATCATCTTACACATACTCCAGAATCACTTGTTTCTGAAAAAACAGATGAATCAATGACAATAAATAACCATTTCTAATTGACTGCAACTGTTTGATCATGCAAGCTATAGCCAATATGACAGAATGAATTCACATCATTTACTGGAATATTCAAAAAGGTTTTTGAAAAAGTTCCTCAAGAGAAAGCTCACACATTTGTCCGACACAAACAAAAAACCCTGAAAAATCGACAAGTGGAAGATTTGACATGGAAAAGATACAAGAGTTGAACATCAATACAGACATGCTAAAGAAAAACATGAGAAAGGTTTCCCTCTCCTTCTAACACCATAACAAACAAGAGACAGCAAAATTCCTTAATCTATCCAGCGATGAAAATACTGTTAAACTAGGGATCAAATACAAACAGGGATGTGGGTGTTCACAGCTACAGACACAGCTGGTCACCAGAACGTGAACTCAACCACAGCGTTCGTACCCAGAGTACCCATTTTAAATTGAAAAACAGGATCATTTTACTGACATAACAGCCATGCACACGCATATGACTGTACAACTGCCCATCTTCTGCATTCAAATATTGCTCTATGGTACCTATAAATACTAATTTTGCACAGTTAAACCGGATCAGCTGATGTGCCTTACCTGAAAAGCCTACGGCACAATTCATTTCATACGAAGGATCATCCAGAACCTTCACAAGCATGAACTCCAGCACCATATAAACAACTCCAACCAGCACTGAAAATACCGCTATGATGTAGGCAAACCACGTGCTCTTCAGCTTCTTCTCCAGCATGATCCCCTTCCAGAGCATGGAGACCATGTTGTAGTACAAGTGCCAGTCGTCTGCGTGGTGGAACGGAGCGAGCAGCAGACGCTGCCAGTCCCTTCGGTGGAAACCCTCCCTGACGCTGAGACACGCCTCATGCGGCTGCCACAGGGGCGTCAGGAACAGAAAAATATTCAGGACGAGCACCCCAAGGGTAACACCAGGAATGTTCTGGAGTCCAACCTGAGAAATTTGATAGAGCAGCAAAAGCAGTCCAGCACCAACTCTTCCCTGCCTTCGCTGCATTGTTGCGTCTTATTCCAGGAAGCCGGAAGGTTCTTCTGATTTCTTGTCTTCCGTTTGAACTCAAAACCATACAAGTCTTGGAAACTCTGAAAACTAAAAAGGATCATTGCATTATTATACATACACAGCCATGTTTTCAAGCTCATCACTGTTTGCGTTTGTTTAGGGCTTTTGGGGTTTTGTTGGTTGGTTGGTTTTTTAAACATAGCTAATTCTGCAGGCTAATCAGCTGAGACCTCTTCTTTAAATTAGAACAGAAACTCAAATGAGAAAAAAAAAAACCCACAGGTTTTTAACTGACCTTTTAATGTCAACATCAAAAAACCACCAAACTTCAATAATCAGAAGTTTAACCAATGTCATTTTCTTTTTTTCCACACTACACACTCCCATACCAGGTTCTCACAAAAATACCAGGTTCTCCCCAAATGGTTCTCACGCACATCTACCCAAACCGCTGATTTTTCTGGTACACTGACACAGCTCCACTTTTTCCACCACAAAACAGTTGACAAAAACCATTAGGATGTGAAAGTCAATGTAATTCAAGCACAAGCTGTGTGGAAATCCCCAAATCTTGCCGTACCACATTGTTCAAACTGCCAGGTGCTACAGTCTTACTTCTTAAAGTTTCTACCCGCTTTTAATACTCTTTAACTTCCAATTTCAATGCTTTTTAACATACGTGCACATAATCACGTAACATGACTGGGAATGGTTTACAACACAGTTACAGTCGTGCTACATATTATCACTCATTCCTATTATTGGCAGCAATGGGACACGTTATGTATTTGACTGCAAAGGAAAAAAATGTAAGAAAGAAAACCAGAGTTACTTGAGAGCCTTCTGGAATGCAACGCACAAAGTACAGAGAGCTTTTGACTGTTCGAACATTCTTCCTCAGCCTCTACTCTGTTTATTAAAAGGCTAATGAGGCTCGAAACAACGAGGCACTTACTCCTTTTTCTTTTTTTGAAAACATGCCACCCACTTCAAAATGTACAAATTTCTAGGACAGACTTGAAATGGACATTGTCTTGCATCTAGGCTGCCACGTGTCTGCATTTTTGTCACCTACTCAAGACAAATGTCTGGACTAAACATTCTTGGAATTTGTTTGTTTGTTTTGTACTAGCCAAGTGCAAAGCATTTAAACTTTTATTTTTACTGTGACAACTTCCCCTCGCTCACTTTGCGACCATAAAATATTATGACTTCAAATTACTGAAAAATCATGTAATAAAGTAAATATTTTAGTAAACGCCAGTTGAAATGAAATGTATTTTCCGGCAGCTGTAATTTGAAGTTAGAGGAAAAGAATCTCCCTGTATGCTTGCTCCACCCCATAAAATGACAGAACTACCTTGAAACAACCCAGCACGCTCCAGAGAAAAGCGAGCACCCAGCCTGTGTGTCCAGGTAAGAGCCAGGTCGACGTAAAACCCACTTGAAACACGCAAAAGGTGAGAGCATCAGACCCTGAGCATAAACCCTGTCACGATGCAGAGAAGCCAGCTTGGCTCTGAAGACACAGGCTCAGGGTACAAGCACTGATCCACACAAAGACTGAAACTGAAACAGTTTTCAGGGCAAAAGAGGCAGCCAATAACGAAAGCAGAAGCAAATTGCAAATCCCTTTACTGCTGCCTACAGAGTTTGTGAAGAGGAAGGCAGGCATAACAGGAAAAAGTAATACAAGAAAAAAGCCTTAAAGAACTGAAACGTAATGAATCATCTTGTTTATACTTAATACGTTGGCGAGGAGGAGTCAACCACAAGCTGCCAGTTAGAGGAAGCTGTGAAAGGCACAGCCAGTTACGCAGCTCGTAGCAAGAGACGAGGTTCTGACATCATTATAAAAGTAACTATAAAAAATAACTTCTGACCTCATCAAATGTGCCTTTAAAGGGCATACTATGCTTTCATTCACAAAGGAATACTGAACTTCAAACTGAGAAAGCATAAAAATTCAGATTTTTGGTATGGAAAACATGCATCTGTAATACAAGTGTTTCAAAACAATTTAAGCCAGTAACTACCTTGCTGAAGGGAAACAATACAAAGTTAAATATCAACATAAAATGACTGCATAAAAGGCTACATCGAAGTCTTTTTCCCCTAATATGTCATGTTTTATTTTGCATATTCTTCAAACGCTTCTGTGGGAATAAGGAAGTTCCTCTGCCTCTTACATCAGAAAGGTTTGATAAGTACTCCTCACTATCCCCATCTCCTGACAGACAGTAATTAGTAACTATTTCTCAAAACACTGGGATGCACCTGCGCAAAGTTCAGGTCAGAGAGGCAAAAGTTTTGTAATGCCCCTAAAAGCAGCTGCTCCAGCCCCACGCGGGAAGGTGAAGCAGGAGGGCTCTCTCGTGTTCGTGTTGCCTTCTTTTCTAATCAGATCTGCCTTAATAACGTTGGTTAAAAATACGAGCAACTCAAAAACACACACTTTCTACTACTGGAGTTAACTCTGGCGAGGCCCCCAGACCCCGGGGCTGAGCAGGAGGCAGCTCGGCAGCACCTGGCCCGCTGCCCCGGGGCTGAGCCCGCACAGGTGACACCGAGGATGCTTTATGAACACGGCAAACATGCTTTACAAACACCCGCACCTCTTCAGCACAGCATTGACACAAACAGGGGAGAGCCCACCGAACACAGCCAGGACACCTTTGTGGCCGCTTCTCCCTTGGATACAGGTACAAGTTATTTACGAAGTTTGGGGTTTTCTATTATTTTAACAACTAAAGACAGAAGCACGGTTCCGGTGAGGTTTTGCGGGCGTGTTTTTGGTGATTTTTTTGAGTCTTTCTCGCCAGCCGGGTTCCACAGTGCGTG